TCTCATAACCACTCAGGATGAGGTAGATGCGATGCTCGAATTCTTGAGGTCCAACAATCTTTCCAAAGCCGAGATGTTCGTTTACACCGAGCCGGTGGTAGGCGTTGGAGGTCATTCCAGACACGGTCAAACATCTGGTATCCATGGTGGAGGTGAATTATATGGCGATCATCCTACCAAAGTTACCATGATCCACATTCCTATTTTCAGTACCAAGAGCAAGGTGAAGGTCATCATCAATCTTTCCCGTCATATGAAGAAGAAGTTCAATCGGACCTCCCCAACCAACCTCAATACAACTTCCATTCAGGCAGCGGTAGTTTTCACAACTACCATTATGGAGCTGATCAAGGTGCCTTTCATGAGCTGGATCAGATGGAGGATGTCCTGCCAGCACCAGTCAGTGACCCCTCCGATGAAGAAGGAGAGAACAACGTCAGTGCAGACAGCTCTGATCCTCTTGAAGGTGCTGATGATTCAGGACCAGAGTTAGACTCCGCTAATGATGATGAGGTGGATCGTGACCGTGTACCAGTCCCCTACTACAATCACATTCCAGACGACAATTGGATGGTCGACAGCGACATGGAGCCGCTAGAGGTCCCAATATGGGGTCCACTCACTGGGTTTATGAAGGGCCAACAATTTGGCTCGAAGAAGGAGGTGCGGCACGCCATTGAGACTGAAGCAATGAATCGACATTTTGAATGGCACACAACTCATTCCAACACTAAAAGGCTCATAGTCAGATGCCGTAATCATCACGAGGGGTGCAATGTTAGGATTCGGGCCATCAACAGCAAGAGACACGGCCACTGGGTCATATCCCGTGCGGTGAACACACACACATGTGTGTCATCCATAACTTCCCAAGGCCATCGACAGTTGAAATCCAGGGTGGTTGTTGCGGCTATCAAGCATCTAATTGAGCAAGAACCGGACCTGAAGGTGAAAGTCATAATCGCTGACATTGCAAGTCGTTATGGTTGTACAATTAACTATAAGAAGGCGTGGCATGGAAAGCAGAAAGCTCTAGCCGCCGTCTTTGGTGATTGGGAAGAATCGTATGCATTCCTTCCCAGGTTAATTTTGGTATTGGAGGCGTCTAACCCTGGCACGGTTTTCTCCCCTCGATACCAAGATGAAGAGATACAACCCCCAGAGGCAGGTAACAAGCGCCATTTCAGATGACCTTTTTGGGCATTCAAGCCATCTATTGATGGTTTTGGCTTATGTGTCCCTGTGATCCAAGTGGATGGTACATTCCTTACCGGCAAGTACAAGGGCACTCTCCTGATTGCTAGTGGGGCGGATGCAAACAGACAAGTCTTTCCTTTATCCTTCACCATTTTTGAGGGAGAGAATGCTGATAGCTATGGATGGTTTTTTCGGCAAATTCAAATCCACGTCACCAGGAGGACGAACCTGACAATAATCTCAGATCGGCACGCCGGCATTAGAGCTGCCATCTTAGGTTTAGATTCAGCATAGAAGTGGTCTCAAAGGTGGTGCATACGACACTTCAAGAGCAACTGGAACCATCATTTCAAGCGGAAGAAGCTTGCTGATAATTTGTGGTGGATTGGTAAGTTCTCTATTAGCCTTTTGATTTTGTCAGCTAACAATATCTTATAATCCGAAGAGTGGTTCACTTGTTAGACTCTTTCTAAAGAGATGCATGCCTAAGGAAATGGGGTTTTAAGCGATTATCATGGTCCTCCCATTTCCTGGGAAAATCGGGTTTTAAGCGATCTTCGGATCCCCCTTTTTCTGTCAAACAGGCTGTGTTTCTAAGGAGATGTATACCTCTCCTAAGAGTCTAACGAGAATACCTCCGGGTTGTTCGAATTGTACTAAACTGCCGATAATTGACTAAGGTACTATTTTCCGTGTCTTCCTCAGCGATTGCCTACCAAGAGAAAAAATTTATGGAGAAGATGCAGAAGCTGCGCGAGTTATGCCCTGAAGGGGCACATTGGCTGGATGGACATGACCTATCCATGTGGAAATTTCATAAAGATGGAGGGACAAGATGGGGTATTGCCACGACGAACTCAGGTGAGAGTATCAACTCTGTCGACAAGGCCGTTCGTGCACTGCCAATATCTGCCATTGTGGAGATGACTTTTTGGAAAACGAATGCATGGTTCGTCAACCGACTCAACTGGGCAAGGACGAACGAGGCACAGGGAAAGGTCCATGCCTATAAAGTCATGGAAGTAATGGAGAATGACAATCTCAAGAGCAGTCGGCATAGTGTAACCGTTATGAATTGAGCAAATGGCGATTATAGCGTGACGACCGGACATCAGAAGGATGGTAGACGGGGAGGCCATCACCATGAAGTTTTGGTCAATTTCAGGACCAAAGTTGGTGAGTGCTCATGCCAGAAGTATCAGGGGAGAGGGTGGCCTTGTTCTCGTGCAATGGCCGTAATTAAAAACAGGAGCAAAGACCCCCGTCACTTCGTTAGTCCATTCTTCAATATCGACTCACTCAAAAACACCTATGGACGGAGTTTCCGTGCATTGCCTGCTGAAGATTATTGGCCGTTGTATGAAGGAAAATTGATCACCCCGCCATTCGGACAGAGGCGTGAACCGGGTCGCCCGAGGAAAAAGAGAATTCATAACGAAATGGATCAAAGTGGAAGACCACCACGAGGCCCAAGACGATGTTCAATATGCAAAGTTCCAGGACATGATAAACGAAGGTGTCCAGGACCGATTGGTCCGCAAAATCCGGGTGCTGATGTGCCGGACTCAGCTAATGCGACATAATTTCCGATTATAGTTCTTCAAGCTAGTTGTAACTCTTACGTTGTATTTAATTGTGTATTGTTGATTGAACGAATTCAGACTATATCAAGTGAAGAGGAATCGTTATAATAACAAATTGATCAACACTCAATTAAATAAACTAAGATAAGGGGAAATAGTTCCAAGTACATAGAAATAAAACCCAAATTGAAACAACACTCAATTAAATAAAATAAAATAAAATAAAATAAACGGAATAGTTCCAAGTACATAGAAATAAAAATAAACTCAAAATACATCTCAAGGAAGTCCACGAGCTTCACCGGAACCCACGGTTTTCTTGCTCCTTGTACGTTTGTCGACGGGAGTAACAATAGGTGGTGGGAGTGGCAAGTTTCGAACGGCCGAGGTAGTGTGGCGCTCGTCGGTGCTATGTCGGCGGGGAAGCGGCACTTCCGGGGTCGAGCGGGCGACATCGGCGCTCATACGGTGAGGAGTAGGAGGCCACTGCTGATGAGGGCGAGTCCATGGGTTGAACTCGTGGTGGGCTGTCGTGGAGGAGCCACCATGCCAAGTCCCAGATGATGTTTGGCGGGGAGATGGGG